GTGGTGGTTCTTCTTATGTGGATGGTGCGGCGGGGAATCCGGTCCGGTTGCTCGCCCAACTTGCGATGAAGATTTGCCGGGATTCAATGAATCTCTCAATCTCATCATCGGGGTCGGGGAGGGGAGGGTCAAGGGGGGGTGTACACTGTACCGCCGCTGTGATGTGCTGGGATGCGCCTGCATGCATGCACCTCTTTCTTTACTCCGCTGGCGCGTCCGCACAGCGGTTGCTGTTTTTTTTCTTCCCTCCCTCTCTCTCTCCCTCTCAGGCTGAGGAAGATACTGATTTGGAGTTTTGGGGGCATTTTCAAATTTCAAATTTCAAATGCTTGCTTTTGTTTTTAGGGCATTTTCGTTTCAAATTTCAAATGCTTGCTTTTGAAAATTGAACCGGGTTGGTGGTCTAGATGGAGTTGCGGTTTCGGCGATTCGAAAGAATATATGGGGAAGCAAGCATGCAATTTATGACCAACAATCCCCGCAAAAAATAAATAGAAGGTTTTTATCTTGCGTGTGGATTCTCAATTGATCGATGAGCCAAAACTTCTGCCTTCGCCTTTAAGAAAGATCAAGAAATTGGATACTTTTGTGCATAATTGTATACCTTCCATAATGAGTACGTGGTGGCTGTTTGGTTTCGTATGGCACGTTCAATCGGCCCGGGAATGTTTTGAAATAAATTCAGATGTTTTAAACTTGTAAATTGGGTTTTCATATATTTAGCTCATTAGACGTGAGCTCTTATAATTCCTTTGAAATCTTTAGATCAAGGTCGGATTGAAATAGGTCACGACGGCATGTCGAAGGCTTTAGGATTCTTTTACTGTAAGGTCCGGTGAAATAAACCATGATGAAGCACAGGTCAATACTGAAGATATTGCAACAAATTGGTTACAAGGTATTGATTGTTTCAAAATGCCCCCAACCCTAACCAACTCATGAGGCACTTCTTAAAACTTAAGGCGTTCATTCTTCAAACTAATAAAACAACCTCACAAAGACATGATTATAGACGAATCACGGGTGAACACATCTTGATGACATACGATGACACTTGAGGCTCGTTATATATACATTTGTGTCTGTTTAAGGGACTCTTTGATTCACAAAAAATTCAAAAAACAAACAGGAATATGATAGGATTGCACGTGCAAAAAAAAAAGGTTAAAAAACACAAGTGTGTATAGAATTACGTGTTTGATTCGCAAAAGTAGGAAAAAACACAATAATCCTAAAATACACAAGCAACTTAGGGTTAAATCATATGCAAATATAAGATGGGGCTGATATTATGCTACTTATGGTGTTTGTCTTGTTATTTGTGCATAGGAATATAAGTGCTCCTCTGATTTAATTAACTCCATAGGACTTTTGGATGATCAGAATCCATAGGAATTTTTCCTACATTTGACCGTTTGATTCGTAGGATTTAATCCTATAGGGATAGTTTTCCTAGGAATAGTTTGTACTACATTTCATAGGAAATTCTAAGGGCGTCTTTGATTTGTAGGATTCCTAAAACACGGTTATAGAAAAAACATAGGTTTGAAATACCCTGCTCATCTTAATCCTAAAGGATTTTTGATTGTTTGATGGCACTATAAGAAAAACAAAGAATTCTTTCAAAGAGGTTTGAGCGGATGCTAAAAATCCAATGAGAAATAGTACAAAGAAATCCATAAGAAAAATTCTTATATGATCCAATTATATGGATCAAACAACCAACATAGGAAAATTTTCTAAGGATTATAATCCTCCAAAATTCTTATGAAAATCCTTTGAATTAAAGAAACCCTAACCTTCTGGAAATAATCCTTTATTTTTTCTTGTGAAGCAATAAAAACATAAAATGTTGTGGAATTCATATGAGGCGTGACATTTCAATCCCCTATTTTTTTCTATTCCCACGTTATTACAATTTTCTGAACCAAAGAGGCCCTAAAAATGAGGTTTGGAGTGGATTGTAAAATTCACTTGTTTTTTCCTTTTGGAACTCAATCCGAAAAAATAAACTTTTTTGTTATGGTCCATTTCTTTAAGTCAAACGCATGAATAATTAAAATTTTGTTTCCTAGAATCTCCCTATATTTTTGGCATAAACTACTATGCTTACTCGATTACCCTGCCGCAACTTATGAAACAGATCTAAAAAAAACAGTGAAAAATATTAACGCGTTCGGATGCTTGGCCTCAACGAAAACCGCTAGTTAAAGGCGGCCTCACCCGGCTAAACTCCACACCACAACATATCCGCTCCACATCCTCCTCCCTTGCATCACAACCACCAAGACCGCGAGCGGGAATGCTCTGCAGGAGAGCCTATCGACGAAGAGGAAGCACGAAATCGCCGTCCTTGCGGCTACTTGGCAGAGCCGTTGTGACAACACGATCAAGGCCGGCTTGCCGGACAACTCCCCAAAGGTCTCCAACGACGACCCCACAATGAAGATGGGGTTCAACAATGACACCGCACCGGAGACAAAAGCCGATGCTTGCCGACATGACCATGGAGCAAGCGCACTACGACGCCACCATAGCGGAGGAGGAGCAGCCTTCGTCGGCTCCTATGTCGGCGTTCTGACAGGCGCAGGAGGAGCAGAGGTACAACCAACCCGCTCCTCCTCAAGCAGCATTGGCTGGCGAACGTCCAAATCTATGGCGAGCGCGCAAGCGAGTAGGCTGTGGCCGCGGCGAAACCAAACTTCATTACGGAGTAGCGGGCGCTCTACATGGCCGCGCGTGCTCAACGCGTCGCCCTCAATGCAGTGCCGGCGCAGCCAGACGCAAACAAGATCGCACAAGCGTCGGGCAACGCAGGCGGTCAAGGACGAGAACACCAGTTGTGCCTCCTACGCACCGCCGTCCAACTTTTGAGGGCGCGTGTGGCAGGTGGACGGTGCCGGACCGTCCAAATTCATCATCGACCTCGCAGCCACTGGCGTTGGTGATGGACAGGTCGCAGACTCCTCCTCCGACGAGTGTGGCATAGGAGGCGGCAGGGCATTTGTGTCCCACGTGGACCGGTCCGTCTGTCATGTTACTACTCTTCCTCGCCGGAATCCGCGCCTCTACTTCACGAGTCTTGCACCCCGCCGCTGTTCATCAAGACGACAGATGGAGGATGTGGTCACCGCCGTCGTAGGATAAGTTTAGGGTCAGGCCTTTTTTTTCTTCTAAATGTTCGAAATGTAACTAATTTTGTTTGGTTTATGTCAAAATTCATCGTGTTTGCATGAATTTTACCCGATTGATTTAAACGGGGATTGAAATGTATGTTGACAGCGTTGTATGGCCAGCTCCGGCATCAGTGTTTGCGGATTTTACCCCTATCCGCGGACAGTGCCGAAGCAATTTTGCGGTTCAGAGCGGGAGATGCGCTCAAACCTTGAGCTGAAGCGCCGTACCAAGACAACACGAAGGCCTGTTAGTTGCCGCGTAATCCGGCCAACTGGTGCAATCCTCGTGCCCAAATGCATGCATCACATCACATCACATCCCGAATTCCCGATGCAACGCACCGGCCGGGACTCTCCTCGTGGCCGATCACACGTTCGACACATTTACGGTGCAATCTGGCCGATCCACAAGAGACGACCATACAGACCGGCGTGGAGCGGCAACCCGTTCGTGGCCGCGCTCCCGATGCAGCGCACCGGGTGGGATGATTCCGGAGAGCGGAAGCGTGCTCCACCAGGCCGCACGCCGAGCCCGGCCACGTAGCGCAGGTCCGGTCCAGCCGTTTCCTCACGTCTGTCAAGCCATCTACGCGTGCCCGGCCGCCGGCCACCGAAAGGAGAACGCGACCGACCGCGCGTGTAGTACGCCCACGCCCACATGGAAACGCGCGCCAGAGAGATTCGTGCACCCACCCACCTGTGTGTGTAACACGCACCGCGGCCCGCGTGAACTTGGACCCCCAGGGGCCGCCCTTTCCGTTTAGATTAACCAAAACGGAACAAACTAATGGGATTGATTACGGACCAGGTGCATGCACCTCGCTCACGTTCACGTTCCCAACGGGCTCCGTCCACCCACTGATCTCTTCTCTTCTCTTCTCTTCTCTTGGATTATATACTACTACTAGTAGTAGTTGAGTAGTTGATTAAGCTACTAATAGCTAGTCATTCCTACGGATCTTATCTAATCCTCCCGATCGGTCCATGCATCTAGCTCAGCTAGTGGCTTTTCTTTTCGTCTCTTCTCTGCTAACCTGCTGGACCCCGGCCCCTGATTACTTTTCTCGTCATAAGCGGCCTACGTGCGGACTGCTGATAACGGAGACGTATTATCTTGATTAATACGAGTACAGTACTCATCCACGCGGTTTTGCCACAATCTTAACTTAATTTTGGTGTTCCCTTGATTAGTACTTTCTCCATCCCTAAATAAATGACTCAGCTTTGTACTCACTCTTTAAACAAATATTTAGATCACTATTTACATCACTAAAATAGTGATCTAAACGCTCTTATATTTCTTTACGGAGGGAGTACTAACTTTAGTGGGTGTATAAGGGTTCCTTAGTACCAATACAGAGCTGGATGATTAATGAAATGTACAAAGCTGGATGATTAACGAAACTGAACATCCAGCGTGGGCCGGTCATGATGTTCATGCATGCATGTTGCGATTTCTTTGACCCCGCAAGTTGATCGAATAGGGTGTTTAGTGTTTTCTATGCAGAAGAAGGTTAGTCACTACGGTTTGTTCTATTCTATGATGACAAGCGTTTAATTAGTGAGGTTCGGTGCAATAATGCACGTAACACGTAAGGT